ATGCAAATCATCCACAAGCCCATCCACACATGTACATGTACCATGCAAGTCATCATGGTCATTCACATGCCCATCCACACATGTACGGTACAAATGATGAACTAATAAACTCTTATGTGCTACGCTACGGTACATTATGGTCTGTTCTCTCAAGAAATGTGAGTATGTTCACATGTGTACGTAATGTATAGTATATGTGAAGTTAATTTGTGGATTTACATGTACTAGTATAATTCCTTGGAAAAATTTTTGATTAATTAACAGAAATTGAAGACATTGCACATGGGCAATATTTTTTTCAGTACTTCAATGAAAACATTCTGAGAATTACTCTATTAGTTGAAAATAAACTCCTGTGATTTATGCGCACTTCCTACTGTAAACACAAAACTAAACCAGCAAAATCAGATCAACAGCCCTCAAAGGTCAAAGTCAAGAATGCTTGCTTGATGCACAACATTCAGGAAATGCAATCACTACGTGTATTTATGAATTACGATATGGTGTGATTTGATAATCTATACAACAGGAAGTACGTATAATGTAGGAACATACATGTCCATTACAGTACCCGGTAATATACCGTGCATGTACGTGTACAAACTGGTACAAAGCACACGTACATGTACCACAATCAGGGGGTATGAGGGGCCAGTTCAAATCAAAGCTGAAAACAGCTAGCAGAAAGCTGAAATGTTACCAAAAAAAATCCATTACTTTTGTACAAACCAGGTGTACAAAAAAGCTGAAATTCAGGGTCAACATTTAAACAATAAAAGCTGAAATCAGCTAAAAAACTGAATTCTTACATCCCTGCACAGTGAAGTACATGTACTGTATACATACATATACACTGTATATTTTCTCCAGGCTTCAAGGAAACTTACACGTACACTGTACATAGACCGGACATTTACACGTGCATGTAAACGTACACGAACATACCCCAGTGTTGGTTGATAATAGGGCCTCCACCAAACATGCCAGAGGTCAAAGGCGAAAAAAAAATGGTCCATCCAGAATCTTCTCACCACATTCTGAAGTCAGCAACCAAAAAGCACGTCAGTTTCTATGCTTTTTGAAAATTTTCAGACTGCATCAAATTACACGTGTATTTAGTGATTTTTCAGTTTGATAGTTTTGTACTGTACAGGGCTCACTGCCAAATGAAAGCATTGTACACTTCACTCTTTTCCAGAACTCAGTACCTACTGAAGTATATTAATAAATGTATTGAATATTTCCTTACGTCAGGAAATTTTTGTTTCGTGTAACATTTACTTTTTATAGCTCTACAACTGGTGGAACATGTTTGAGTACAAGTTTTGATTCTGTTGAGACAACTTGGAAGGTGTTGAAGTGGTTAACCACAGAATTAAAGTAAAATCAGGAATGTGACAGCAAATGAAATAATTCTGGTGACAAATCTGTGATGTAAGATATTTTAAATCATGTATAGTATACATGTATTTGAGTGGATTTGAGGAGTCACTGTGAATTCTGTTGAGTCTGAGTGAAATCTTTCCATCTCACTATTAATGAATTGGGTCATTCCATGAGGTTGGGGCACCATTTGTGACAGTGTCCTTTTTACATGGGTAACTTGTACCACCTGTCATGACCTACATGTAAATGTACAGAGTAGGTCATTTACTCTGTCAAAATAACACACACCTCTGTATTCAGCCTTGCAAGATGTAACAATGTCAATTGGGAATCCACACGCAGGAATATAACTCTTCATTTTTACGGACACTGTCACAAAATGAGCCCCCACCTCATGGAATGACCCAATGAGCCCCCACCTCATGGCATGACCCAATGAGCCCCCACCTCATGGAATGACCCAATGAGCCCCCACCTCATGGAATGACCCAATGAGCCCACACCTCATGGCATGACCTAATTATCTTCTCTGTTCAGAGGTCATCTAGTACACATTCTCACCATTTTTCTGAGCGTACAAAACATTCTCTTGCATCCTCTCCCTCTCCCCAAAATGACAATTGATGCCTTTGAGAAGTGATAATCCTTGTTTTTTTTTTAATATTACACACTTGTGACAGGGAAGGTGAACGAATGCATGATTCCTGTGAAAGATGTCATCCAAGATTGACAGATAGTACAGAGAGATCAGTCAGAAGTACTCCTA